TTCCGATCTGGCAGGTGGGGAAGGGCCTGCAGTGGGGAGGCCTGATGGGGGGAGCGGAGGGGTCCCCAGTGCTGCCCCTGGGCCCCCTCACAGCTCACTCCTCAGGGGACTGAGGGCAGCCGCAGGGAGAGGAGAGTTGAGTGCCTGAGAGCACGTCTAGGGAGGAACAATGAGTGGGCGAAGATTCTTTCCCACTTCGCGTGGATGAGGGTGTGGGGAGAAGCGTTGCTGGCTTGCGGCGGCTCCTAGACAGGGCCCTTCGCCTGGCACAGCGCTGGTGGCTCTGCCTCTGCTTCCTCTTGGCAGAGCTTTGTATGCTCAGGCATGCTGTTTGCCTCTGAGAAGTGGTGGGAGGAGTACGGGCACACTCCTGGAGTGAAAAGCAGGTATGAAGGAAGCCCGTGGTCACTCCATTGTTGCTTCTGTACAGCTGGTATCAAGTTGGTTTGGGTTTTGACAGTGCTTTGCTTTGCTTTCTGAGCTGAAGGAATTCACGTCAACTCATGGTACGATGGTTTCTGTGCTGGGGAGTGAAAGATGGTACATGGGTGAAAGCACCAAATCAGAGCCTCATAGGTGTGGGGAGAGAACTTCTGGCTGACTTTCTGTCAAAGACAAACGCTGTTGGTGTAAGAGAGAAAGAGCCAATTTTGCAAAATAGTGCACGTGTGTGACACATGATGACAGAAGAGCTTCAAGTCATGGTAGCAGCTACACATCAATGTATACTGTAAAACAAATCCAAGTAACAATCATATGCTAATTCTTTTCCTGTTCATCTGAGGCAGCCCCTCTCGAGATCTCTTTCTGCTTCTTTTAGTCAATGATGCACTTCTTTAATTGGAAATAAAGTTCAGGCATGAAATGTTTATCAAGACTGCAGCATTGCTTCAGTGGAGATAGGCTTTCACGTTGGATGTCATGGCATCTCTTTTCTGAAGCTTTGAGAACACACTAACAAATATTGCAGTGCGCTAATTGCCATGGATTCTTTGTGCCTGTAATTTCTTCTGTAACTTCAGTGATTTTTCTGGTTTAAAGGACAGTGATGAAGATAATTCTTCAGATTAAAAAAAATAAACAAACAATAAACAAGTTGGACTTTCCTGGTTTAATTCGTTTTTGTGTAGAAATGGCCCTAAAATTGCATTTGGACCATTGTGAACTGGCTCTCAGATGGTGATCAGAGAAAAAATAATAATGTTTACAAATAGTTTAATTCGACTTTTATGCCAGACTTACTTCAGTGTGTGTTACTTTTCATGCTAATACCTGCACAAGTGTCCAGACCCACCCCAAATCTTCTTTACTTGTTCTGCTGTATTGCTGCTGCGGTGCTTCTTATCCCTCTTAGGAATGGCTGCTGTATCCGTGGTGGAATAGAGGCTCACTCAGTAACTCAAGATATTAACCTGTGGTTAGGTACACATAGGTATTTAGCACTCGGATGAATCTCTGATGATGTTTGTGAACTAAAGGTGTGATTAGTTAAACTTGATGAGGCTACTTTGCAAGAATGCATCTGGATGGAAATTTATGCAGGTACAGGTTCTGGTTGTTCTCTAGTCAGTCTTCCTCCTTCAATGCAGGACTAAAAGGCACTTCCCAAATCCAGTCCCCTGCTGTTGAGACATTCTTA